CACACATACAAAAGTATGCATGTCTATCGGCATGATTATTATGTACATTAAATGTGTATACAAATTTAAGTAGAAGTTTATAGAACTGCTTCCAGTTTAAAAATGTCTGGTGTTTACTTGTGGTATAAGCGACATTCTGTTTAATACGTTACCCCTATAAAGTGCACGTGTGAAACTATTCAGATCATATGTTACACCTGAATAAGCTTTTTTGCACACACTTGAGTAGTTCTATTTATATTGCCAGTCAGAATTATACACATGTTTAAAAAGTCAACACAATGTGATATCGAGATATGCTTACACATAAAGTGGGAAATGCAATGAATTTGTTTGTTAAAAGAAGGAGGATTAAAAAATTACCATATTGAAAGATTAATCAAATAAAATATTTTGTAAGAACCATCCAAAGCAAGCGTCATTTATTCTACCTTGCAGGAAGTAGTTATGCCTGATACCCTGCCTTACGGAATTAAAAAAAAAAATCAACAAACAAACAAAAAAAAAAGTTGTACTTAAAAACTCCAGTCTTTGACTTTTGATCTTTTTCATCGCTCCTTGTTAAGATCCTACGATGAACTTACAACAGACAAAATCAGATGGTACAGTATTAAATTGACTTAACATTAAAACGTCTACTTTTTTATCAAAAATATAAAAGAGGCCAAGAAACCACGTAATAAATCCTTATGATGAATTGAAACGAAAGAAGTGAAGTGTAGCCTAATTTTAATATTAACGCGCCCCCAAGGCAAGTTCAGTCAGTAAAATAATGTTTGAAAGTAGCATGGGGTATCTTCCGTCATAAAAGTGCAGCAAGTTTAAAATTTTAGAGGAATGTTTATAGTTTTATGATTACACCAAGTTCATGGTTTGATATACATGTAATTGCATATACCTAGTATGTAATTATTGACTCAAAAGAGAAATAGTATTTCTATATTTTGTCTGAAAACAGCTATGATAAAAGTGCTTTCTAAGAGTATATGATTCTTTAAAAAATGAAATGTTGATTTTTTTTTTCTTTTTATAAATTCAAAGTTTTAATAAAGACATATTCTTTTACGTAAACCTTTTACAGAGGAAACATACAATGTAGTAAAAAAATATATAAAATCTTTATTCCAAAATCTATTGTTTGCTTTGTCTTTAATTCAGTCTATTTTTCCAAAACATTGTCAAAAAGTAGTCAGTTTTCTATTTTTCGGAGAATGGATTGATAATGTGGATGATGTAATTGTCGTTCTCTTTTTTCAACAAAAAGAAGTTATGGGTGAATTAAAAAAAAATGACCACCAAACTGAAATTTTTTGGAAAAATTCAACTACTTCTAACATATTTTTCACTTATATCATCATATTGCACATGCATTCTAGTTTAAAATCCTGAAGTGGCAATAGAATAGACAATTGGATTAAAAAGTTTCAGAATTTTTATTAGTAAAATTTCTTTTGAAAAAAGAAAATATCATTACACCTTAAAAGACTTTCTAAAATACATAATTACAAGAAATTATAGTTTTTTAGGCTTCAAAATGGTAAAAGGGGTATAAATGATTAAATCTAGACCTTGATTGAGTATCTTCTCTTGTATGTGTGACAAAAAATTGACTTTTTGATCGTCATTTTACATTATTTTTTCAATTCTGGTTTGAAAAGTTTTAATATGAAAAAAATATGAAGCAATAAAATTGCCCAAATTTCACTTTTTTGTCCGTTCAAGCCAATTCTTTAAATCTAACCCAAAAAAGAATTTTATATACAAGTTCTCTTACAAAAAACATTAGATTTTGAAGTGACCCTATGTTACATTATTGTGTTGCACTCCTGACATCTGATATGTATTTTATTTAACATTGTTTTAAAAATTATAACACACAATAACCCATTCTTACTTTGTAAATTAATTTGTCGTTTTGATATTTTTGATCTTTTACGGCAGGTTTTTCATATTTTGAAGACCTTAACACATGATTATTTGCAAAGTGTAATATATATAAATTGTATATAAAATATATGTGAAATGATGAAAACTATTCCCTGAATTGACTAGAAAATTTCCGTAATTTGTTGATAGACATAGTGTTTTGAACATAAAATAGTATCAAACATTTTTTTTCAACTCATTTTTTAGTAAAGATAGTTAAAAAGCATTGGTAATTATAAAGCAGTTTTGTTGCACTCCTGACTGCACTAAAATTTAAAATTAAAACCGTAGAACACAAAAATTCATAAAGTGTTGGCAACATCAAGTGGTAATGAAATTGTGCAATATTTATAGTCTGATATTTTATAATTAAAACAGATGAAAGTATTTGAAATTCACATTTTATCTGGAATTATTCCCTATTTATGCCAAAAAACTAGCTTAAATGTATATTTAGAAGATAAAATATATTTTATAGCATATTTTCCTTTAGGGGACAAACACAGTAACCCACCAGAAAAATTCTACTCATCATTTTTTCTTTATTTTTATTCTTATTGGATGATTTATAATTCTAACATATTTGTTGCACTCCTGACCAAAAGCATTGGGACCTTTAAAGTAGAATTGTGAAGTGAAAATTACATAAGAACTTGTTCTGTTGTTTCAGTGAAGTTGAAGAGGAATTACTTGAATTTTATAACAATTTTTTAGTGTTTTTATTTTTAACATTCATTTAAAAAATCACAAAAAAGATAGAAACACATCTGAATTGATAAAATTGAAAAAGGAAGGATTTTAATAATAAAACTGTCAATAATTTAGCATTAAATTATACAAAAAGATCATTATTAATTAATGAATATGTCTAAGCATGAATAGAAGTGTTTTTGTCACACAACTTGAATCTTTAAAAAAATGTGTTGCACTCCTGACCATAGAAATATAGATCTGAAGCACAGAAAGATCCAGTAATTAATAAATCTATTTGGTAAAAATGTTCTTTGTGTCTCTCTTTTCCAAAATAAAAATCAGAAAATCATATAATGATAATAGTTTTTTCATGCTTGGGAGCAAAACATCAAATGTTGCACTCCTGACATTATTGGGTATGCATATATACTTGACTCTAATTAATGCTGCTTGTGATTTATATAACATTTTTAAGTTTTAAAATGTATATCAGTTATTGTTTTACACTTAGAAAATTCTTTTTTGTCTTAATTTTCTTTCAGAATTTTACAATTGATGTTTTTTTTGGCAACACTACATTTTTTCTGTTGCACTCCTGACATGGTATAACATTTTTTTAAACGTCAGCCATGACCACAACTTGATTAAACAAAAGTTACTACAGGCCACATTTAAAGCTCAATACTTTGAATATTATCAGGAAAGTCTTTATTTTCAACATAAAGCATTATTATTTATTTTACAGATCTCCAAAAAATATTGAAATTTCTAAATGTCACAAAAAGGTGTTGCACTCCTGACAATTTTAGCATCATTTTTGGGCATAACTTTTTTTTTGTTAATTGAGATATCAACGAGATATTTGGCAGGTATTTAGACACTATCTAAAGACATATGCTGAGACATAGAAATCTATTTTCATTGCCTGTATTTTTAGTGTGGGTTGATAAATATGCGTTTGGTCATTTTTTTTGAATTCACCCTTATCTGCTTTTCGTATCATTGTATCCAGGTCGCTAAAATGTTTGCACACTCGCTTGAAAACATTTCGGGTAAGAATTAAAGGATAAAAAAGGATTATTTTACGAGGGAAAAAAACAATGCAAATTTCTTACATGAAAAAGGAAAGAAAGATAGAGATAGAAAGGGGCAAATTTGAAGTTATATGAACTCTTTTTGTAATCCATTTTTAATTTTTTATTCATAGTTTAACCACATGCATAAAAAAATCTTCTACCGTTCAATTTAATTGCTTTCCTTTTTAGCCGCCTAAATCTGTCAAACGTCTCTTGATATTCTCAAGACGAATATTTTTCTTAAAATGAATTTTAGAAAGATGACCGGAGTTTAATCAATCTTCATTCATAAAAATATCTCGTGGATGAAAATGGTCGTGAAATTGACATACAATCTGCGTTTTGATCGTCAAGAGACTTTTTAATGCAATAATTTGTATATTGTTGATTACAAATTCTGGACCCAGAGTGGATTTTTTAAATTCATCCAGCACCCAAAAGCTTCAGTTTAATCTATAAAGTTCATCACTGTGGATCTGAAAAATTCTCCAAAGTTTTTTTTAAAAATGGAACAATGTTTTAAATACAACATATTAGAATTGTTGGGAAACTTCTTAAATATTCCAAGGACAGTCATATAAGATCAGGATAAGAGAACTGCTGTACATGTATACGTAATCTAACAATAACCTCTAGCATAAATGATACAACACAAAATTTGACAGAATGTCTTTAATGACCTTGTAGTGAACCTCATTATAAAGGAAGCAATGTCATTTTAATGTCTATGTTCCTGTTAACTTATCAACCATAGAAATGTTCTCTTCGATGAAGACATATCGTTTAATGCATTTGTTCATTTTCACTGTAATTACATGTACATGTATTTAATGCATATGGTTATTCTTAACTTACTAAATTTTTCACAATACTTTTTACATAGTGAAAAAATGGAGTAAAACACAGGTGTCTGAATATTCTTTAACTGGGTATACGTCAATGACCTCATCCTTGTAATTTGTTGTTGTTGTCTGAATTAAAGGGTTTGACAAAACCTGTATTGACTTATTTTTAATAAAATAGCTGAATAAACGTCCTTGTACTTGGGGAAATTTAACATGAACGGTAAGATAAATGTGTTTACACTTTTTAAACAACGCCATGTAAATGTATTTTTTTTTTCTTCAAACAATATTTCATATAGATATGTTGCATTATTAGCTAGCAGTTGACTGAATGATTATGCAAAATATTGTCACGTTGAAACACCATTTTATGTGTTTTTGTCTTTCAATGACACCTTTATGTGTTATTGTTGTTCACACACACCTTAACGTGTCACTGTTGTTCACAGAGACTTTTCTTTAGATACATGCACTAAAAACACGTTGATGAAAACTGAACAGACTTTGTGAAAAATGTCGATAGAACTGAAGTCTGTCAAACATACGGGGGAAAACAACCCTGGGTTCGTTACTGAAGACAACGAAGGAAAATCCAAAGATTTTGACCATGAAGGAGAGCCAAACGGGAAGAACAGCTCTATGGTAAGTATTTGGTAATCAAAAATTGTTTGACAAACATTGCATTTAAAAGAAAGTGTTATACATAAAAATGACAAAGTAGTTTTATATGATTTGTAAAAATAAAAATACGATTTCATATCAGAACAATTTATATTGATCGGTAAATACATGTATATTAAAAGATAGACAGTTTAAATGACAAAGAGCATAACACTCAATTAATGACACAGCTCTGTTGTTTCAAGCAAATTAATATGTCATGATTTTTCACAGAAGGATATCCCACTGGACAATAGTGACGTTGTATTAACGGTAGAAGAAGATGACGAGGAAATGGGCGCTTGCGCACAAGTAGTCTTCCTAGTTCAAACAGCAATCTATAAATTCATCAACGACAATTGGCGCGAAATCGTATTTGTATTCTACATTTGCCTCATTGCAGGATACTTTATTTATTTTACATTTGCCATAGTCAGGACATTTGAAGTTGACAGGGAGCCGTCCGTTCGTTTATTAGTGTGCACGCTCTTTGGTGTCTTCATAATAATGTGGTGGATTTTTGCTAAATTATTTGGTACCCAAATGGACAATTTTTATAAACATCGAATTAAGCCTCTTCTCAACTCTGATGGCGGAAGGATGCTTAGTAAAATCGTGTCATGGTAAGGGATAAAATCACGATGCAAGTTTTTTTTAGATGCTACTCCTTACAACATTATTTGTAAGGGACCAATGTTCATGGATTTCTTGGGTACCATTACCCGAAAATTTCATTGCTACAAACGGTAACTCTGTCCAAGCATCAGTTCATTGATTTTTTTTTTTTTTTTTTTTTTTTGTTATTCGAGTATTCTACGATAAAACGTCCTCATGAACTAGTGATATCTGGAATGTCCACGAACATTGACCTCCCACAAATTATAAAGATTCTATAGAAGTGACGATTTTTCATTCATTTTGACAAACATAAAACAGTGGCATGTGGTGATCAGAGATAACTGGCATAATCAATAATTTCACAGGCGTAATTTTTGTTATTTACAATGTATATATACTACGAGAATCTTTTGCAAAAGGTCATCAAAAAAAAAAAAAAAAAAAAAAGAAAAAAAGAAAAAAGAAAAGCACAAAAAAAGTTTATATATCAAATAAATTAAAGTATTCCCAGTTAGTCTTTATACATATCTCAAGTCTCTAACTATAACCGGAACACATCAGCATATTCTTTTTTGGATAATTCAATTGCAAAAGACATTAATGAGTAGCATTCTCTACAGCAGATCTAAATTAGTAACATCTTCCTTTGGTTTTTTGAATTTTCGGAAGAAGAAAAAATGTCAAAATGATTGAGACCTAGCAAAAACGGAGGGTGGCTAAGCTCTGTCAACGTTCCTATCTTCGAAATTTCCCTTACATGTATATCATTATGCATATTTGCAGCAGCGTTGTCAGCTACAAGAACATCACCCGGGCCCCGATATTTGAACTTCTCTTACAGAAAACCTGCTTATCTTTCGAATTCCTCAATACAATTTAAACATAAAAGCTACCGTTGATGGTTCTTCGTTTGGGAATATTGTACCTGTACGTGTAATTCCATACATCTCGAGAAGAAGAAAAACCCCTAAAAGTCCTGTTTGTAGCTATGGTTTCTCTTTGGATTTATAAGACGAAAGCTTCCTCTCTGATTCTGCTTTTTATTATTGACCTTCAATTTGGTCCATAAACAGTGCGCCCATGTTTCGTTACCCATCACAAAGGTTTATAATACCATCTTTTGCTAAAATGTTTATATTTTAATAGACCCCTGTAAGGAACTGTAAGGAAAAATGGACTTACTTGACAGAAATAGTTTTTTTTTCTAGATTCATTTCCTTCCTCAAAACTCAATCAACAGTTGTGATGCTAAAATTTTAATGTCTTAGCAACGACTTTCTATGTAAATCTGGCATTTTCAGATATCATATTGCCCAGAGCATCGATATTTTTTAGGTGTCCCTACAAATCCCGATCGACCAGTTCAATGTTTTAAGTGCACCTCTTCACTTCTGAATTTTCTAATCCATCTGTACACCAAACTACGTGAAAGACTAGTCTTTCCATATATCAGAACCCTATCTTCATTTGGGTTTCTTCAGCGACTTTTGTGAAAAACCGTAGTTTTCACATTAGCCCTGATTTTCATCTTCTTGGCAAAGATCTATTTTAAACAGTTTTAATCTCAGTGTAGTGAACATTCTTGAAGTGAATTTCTTTACAAAGACAGAAGAAAAACATGCCGTGATTAGTAGTTCATAATTAAAACTTTTCTAGTGTTAAAAAAAATGATTAACTGCTTCATCATTTATTATGATTAACCGAATGTTGCATTACTCATTGAACCACCCTCATGACATTTTAACTGTATCATAAAACATAAATCTAGAAATGTATATCATCCTCATAATGTGTATACATGTAATGTACATTGTTAAGAAAAAAAAAGTTAGTTAACAAAAAATAACCATAATTCGTTTCCTTAAATTAAATTTCTAAATTATTAAAAATGGACCTTCGTTTAACTGTTACATCTTATTTCAAGTTAAAAAATGTTAAACTTGTTTTGACTAAAGGTCTGACGAAATGTTCCTCAAACTTCGTGATATACAACATATTAATCGTAATTATTATGATTATTACATTTTCTTGTGATTTCTACACTGTTTTCAAAATGTCTGAAAAATAAATACTCCAAAATTGTGATATTGGAAATGCTAGTGATTTTCTATATGATTATTTAAGAAACAACATTCTCTGGTATCTTGCACAAATGCCTGGTAAGTGCCCGAAATTTTTGCGAGAAAACTATTCAAAGTAGCAATACTTCAATGATAAATTCTTGGGAGATTTTATATATTTCTGAGGAACTTGTCGTCTGACCTCAAGAAATGAAGTTTTATACGTGTATTCTAACAATGAAAAAAATCTTGGAAAGAACTTTTTGCCATTTATTCTAGTTAATTTAAAATTATTTAAAAATGCATAAAAACGCTCCAGTAATTGTATTCCTTGGTTTTAATATTCCTTAATGGTATTTCCAGGTCTTTGAAGATTGTTGCCTTTATTGCTATAGTGGTGTATGTCATCATAGATATTGCTATTGATCATCCACAGAACCTTATGTCTGTAGCCGGATTAGCTTTGTACGTCATCATTTTCTACGCGTTCTCAGTAAATCCTGCAAAAGTAAGGCTTTTTGTTTATTATCAACATGTATTCATTCATAGTAAGGAAGTCCATGTCGACATATGATCTAAAAGTATATTCCTACACATATCATGTACTAAATATCGTTTAATGGTTATCATAACTCAAAACTTTTATGCTCTTTATATTTATTATTTTTAAAATGACTACCGTCCATCGTTGAATAATAGAGTGATATTTTAGAGGTGCTAAATGAATTCATGAAATTAACGATAATACACGACTATAATGTAGTTAAAACTAGAGGTACTGTAAGCACACAAAATGATAACTCTGCTCTCATATGAATATAATGGCAAAGTCCGTGTTTTGTAATGGGAAACCCAATAAATCTGTCTTATCCGAACATATAATAGGTGCACAATGGAACTATGTAATAAAGATTCTGTAAAAGTCTGAGTAAATTTTATTCATTGATATAGGAGAAAATTGCGGATAAGAGATAAATTCCACTAAGTAATTCAGACGTACTGAAGTACGCACGGAAGGACGGACACCCCGTATAATAAAATAAAATGAAATAAATGAATGAATAAATAAATAACATTGTCTTTGAAAATAGAACCTGTGCCCAAAAGCACCTTTTTTTATGAAGAATGTTTCAGAAACTTGACCTTAAGACCTTACGTTTTAACAGAGGAGACTGGGTATTTTTACAAAACTTTCACTAAAATGAAATTGGTGCCCATGATAAATACCCATAATTCTTTATTTTCTCTGTAGGTAAAGTGGCATCCTGTGTTCTGGGGGATCGCTCTGCAGTACATCTTTGCCCTGATAATTCTGCGATGGGAGTTTGGATACAACGTGTTCAAATACCTTGGAGATCGCGTCACGGAATTTTTAGCGTACTCTGATGAGGGTGCCTTATTTATGTTTGGTTCACCTTTAGAAGTTCACTTTTTTGCTTTTAAGGTTAGTGGTCAGAAAATTTACGACAGCCAAAAGCAACACAATACGAAAGATTACGCATCATATTTGTATTTGAAGAAAAGAACCAGTGAGCTTGAGTTGAACTTCTTTAATTGTCGTAAATAAGATAAATGCCTAAAGTTTTAATATTATTACTGGTATTTTTGTGATTAATCAAGAACCTTCTCATTTAAAATAACTTCCACATCGACCTTTTGCCTAAGTAAAAAACATAAAGTAAGAATTAATAAAAGTAACTTGCCAGTACTTCATATTCTTTCCTTATAGGTTTTACCCCTGATAATATTTTTCTATGCCATTATTTCTGTCCTGTATTATCTGGGAGTTATGCAGGCAGTTGTAAGAGTTATTGGACGTGCTCTGGCCTTTCTAATGGGGACAACACCAGCAGAATCCCTCAATGCTGCAGGGAACATCTTTGTAGGAATGGTAGGGTGTATGATGATCAGTAATTCTTATGTTCTTCTATTCGGATTTGAAATACTCCATAATTCGAATATGGAAACATCCGTTCTTCGAAACAAATATATGTCATCATAACGTCATAATTTAGAGTCTATTCATTACGTTTAACGTTAACCATTACGGCATATGTCATCATTACGTCAAATGTAACCAATAAGGCAATGTAACCATTACGTAATATGCCGCTATTACTTGACTTTTAGACAGAGTCTCCTTTGATGATCCAGCCTTTCCTGAAGGATATGACGATGTCTGAGTTGCATGCTGTCATGGTGGGAGGATTTGCAACAATTGCTGGAAGTGTTCTGGGAGCTTATATCAGCTTTGGCGTGAGTAACTGTGTGAATGATAAAACACTAAAAATTTGATATTGAAAGTAAGGAGAAGATTTATGACATTTTTTTTTATTTTATATAACTTATCAAACATTTAATTAGAAACGTTGAGATAAAAAGTATGAAATATAAACGTTGAGATAAAAAGTATGAAATATTATACACCTATTTACTGGCTATGAGGACAATAGCAAGTTTATCGTCCCCCCAAGACTATTTTCCGAGGCGCAGCCGAGGGAAATAGTTGCTGTCGAGGGGGACGATAAACTTGCTATCGTCCGAATAGTCAGTTAATAGGTGTTTTATTATACCGAAGCCAACTTTACTTTTGTTACGTCACAATACAACAACCCATATAGTTTTGAGATGAAAAACGAGGGAAATGGAATGCTTCCGGTGAATAGTTTGATGACTATTTCACCATGGGCAAATAGCACAAAAACTATGTCACGGTAGGGGCTGTTTAGAAAAAATGGAAGATTTATTTGTCATAATTTTATGTAGAAAAGATTCACAGAGGTACATGTATAATAAATTAATGTACTTTTGAATATAGATCATTTAATGCCAAAGTACTTCAGACATGGTATTTTGAATGTAATTTTAAGGCAATAAAAATTTATATTAATGCGTTTTACATTTACAATTTTTGTGATTAGATTCCTGCCAATCATTTGATGTCCGCCTCTGTGATGTCTGCTCCAGCAGCCCTAGCAATGTCCAAATTAGTCTACCCAGAGGTGGAAAAGCCAAAGTCATCAAAAAAAGATTTCTATAAAATGGGAAAATCGTACGTATCGCGGCAAGGGACATGTTGCTGAATTTCTTGGGAGAAATTGCTAAATTGTGAATTAAAATTATTTTGGAGCAAACCTCAGTTTCAAAATCTCGGTAAAATTCACGAAAATACTTCTAGTTCAGTAAAGTTTACTATAATACACACTTTATAGAATTATTTGATTAACTATATATGATGCTTTAAAACTTTATTCTACCTTTTTACGTTAAGAACTTTTTAGAGACTTAAAAGGTAGTTTACTATCATTACGAATTTAAAATTTTATCATAGTAAATCAAAGCCTTTGCCATAGAAAATATATCATATAATTATGAAATTCTAATTGATACATTTCATTAGGCTCCATTGAAACGTTTTGATACTTAAAAATACTTTTATATCTAAATATAATGATTATTTTTAAAAACTACTAACATTGACATAGAGTTTGAGAAATACTTCTTTTAATCTCAAAAAAATTCTGGAGTAAATTCTAATAGTAGATTTCAAAGTGTCATAGTAAATCAAATTAAGTATACGATTTGATTTGAAAAAACATTTTTCCTTTGTCATTGAATCAGTGCAAATTGATTATGACTGATTTTTCCCCTAATGAGGTGCAAAGCCAAATCCAATATTCTCTTTTCTTAAGCTTCCAATTACCAACATCTTTGATCAAATTCAAACACATGTTATTTTCTTCAAACGAAGGAATTTCTTTTTCAATAACTTGCATGGACAAACTTTTCTAAATTTGAAGCCCTTCACCGACATATGGTGACGTCTCTTTTTAAGTAAAATAATCTCGAATGGGACGTACAAAAATATATAATCGACCAATCAATCGATCTGCAACACAAAAGAAATTTGAGTGGAATAGTTTGCGAATTAAAATTTTGCTATGTTAGACAAAACCACAAAAATGTATTGGAAAAATCTCCTAAACTCGTCATAAAGTAGTAATAACATTGATTTGATTTTTATGTCAATAACCTAACGTAGAAATAATTACTTATACATGTATGTATCATGCAGTGCACTCGAAATAATATACAGAAAATACACAAACTTCTCTGTCTCTCGCTGTCCCTTTCAGTCTTTGCACTTTCAATTTATTTTTGTACATTTGTTTGTTTGAACATCAGTGCACTTATTCTTCATTTTCTTTGTCTTTCACAGGAAAATCTAAGTTGGAAAAACTTGTGTCTCAACGTATGTATCATCAAATATGGTTAAAGCAACTCACTTCTCTGTCCTTTTTTTCAGTAAAGACAGAAACATAATCGAGGCAGCAGCATCTGGCGCCATTAATTCTATCAGAGTTGTGGCAGCCATTGCAGTTAACGTCATGGCATTCCTCTCTATCCTGAAGTTTATTAACGTAACCTTAACCTGGTTTGGGGAACAGGTCGAAATTGAGGGATTTACTTTTGATGTTAGTTAATATAGACCTCTGAATGTGAAATGTTCTTACTAATTCTCATCGTGGTATAGCTTCATATATTATCGTGTTATAGAGTGTTAAGTAATTTTTTATCAAAATAATTTCGCAGAGTACAACACGCCTGCTTGCTTTTGAGACATGAACTTACTCTGTTTTTTTTTTCTTTCTTTTATTGTTAAGACGAAATGATTGCACTAAATATAGAGCAATAATATGGAAAACAACTGTGACATGTTTCTATACCGTATATATTTTATGTTATAACAATATAAGTATAGGACCTAATTTAACTAGTGCACATTCGAAACTCTTTAAAATTTGTTTAGATTTAAATTGTAAAAGATAAGATTGTTTAAAAATGATTTAGTAAAATTGTATGCATAACAAATTTATTAAATAATATTGAGAGAATTAAGGTGGAATAGAATGTTCATCATGAAATATGAACATAACGAACAGTATTTATGCTCAAAATCCATTCAAACAATACAAATACAGGAGCAGAGCAAACACGGACTTCTAAAACATCAGAGGTGGGATCAGGTGCTATGGACTAGTGAGCATCTCCTGCCAACCGGTCACACCTGCCGTGTGTTCTTAGTCATGATAGGGAAATAACGGAAAAATCCGTCGACAATTCAGTGTGTAAACAGTGACCTAACAATTAGCATGAAAAACGTCAGTAAGTATTTGACTTAATGATAAATTGTAAATGACAGGTCCTTGTATTGACCATTGACTTACGAAATGATGACTTTAAACGAGACTGTTGATTTTCTTGTTTCATTAACTTGTTTGTCAATAACTTACCTCGTTTTAGAAATTGTTCATACGTAGAGTATGCTCTTGCGTATCGAATCAAATGAGTGATATAAATCCCATATGCAGGTGATAAGGGTATATTGCTACATAAGTCAGGGATGCAATATACAGATTGTTACGACAAATTCACATTTGTCTTTCTGAAAATACCTATGTTCAACACCTTAACTTTTGACGTCACATATACGGACTAAGAGTTTTTCCCTATTAAAAAAATGGTATTGTTAATTCAATGTTTTCTGACATTTACTAGTATTCGATACATCAATCAGTAACATTTTTCCTCATCTTCAGCTAATATATTTTTGTCTTTCATTTTCAGTTCATTTGCTCTTACCTGTTTTACCCCATTGCATATTTCATGGGAACAACTCCCTCTGACTGCCGATCACTAGGACGACTTATTGGTCTGAAAACTTTCACTAACGAATTTGTTGCATACGACGAATTATCAAAAATCATTAAGAACAAAAACACCTTACAGAGTTACATTAACACTAACCATACAGACTGGTTCTGGAAAGGGGACGATGTTATTCTTCCACAAATGAACAGCACAATTCTTAAATACGGCATTTTGGAGGTTAGCATTTTATCGTGATTGCCTTATCATTCTGCCGTCTGAAAGTGTTTAATATTCCATGTAAAAAAGTTCCACTATAGTAGACATCTACTATTGAAATGGTTTTTTTTTAAATGAATAAAAAGCAAAAAGAACAACTTACAGTAAATGTGTGCTTGGTGTCATCATAAGCATTGCTAGGTCTATCAAGACGTTATAACTACTTTGAGATTTGCTCTCCTTTCAGACCAGATCTGAGGTTGTAGCAACATACGCTCTCTGTGGATTCTCTAACTTTGGCTCTATCGGGATTCTTTTAGGAGGATTAGGTGCTTTAGTTCCTTCTAGAAGATCAGACTTATCTAAGATCGTTCTCAGTGCCATGATAGCTGGAAATGTTGCCTGCTTTATGACTGGATGTGTAGCAGGTAAGGTTTAGATGTTGCAGTAGTTAATGGCATGATGTATTACACATTTGTTATTGCTAATCCTGTTATTCTCACTGTTTCAGGTCTACTCTATAAAGACTATTAAGATTAAGATGATCCATTAGAAGCTGAGGAAACCAAGATTTATTTGCAACATACTGATAACAGATATGTGTATTACTGTGAAATCAGTTATTTTCGTTGGGGGTTCATTTTCGTTGTTTTCGAGGTACGAAGAGACCCACGAAATTAAGTCCACCACGAAATGTAATTTTTCACATATATTACTGCTCAACAATTTTTTACTCAAGAACACATTTTTTTCAGCGAGCCACAAAAAACCACAAAAAATTTGACCCCACGAAAATGTATGATTTTGTAGCATCATATAAACGTATGTGCCCTCCTTATTGAAATACGAGGTTTTCTTCATATGTAATGCTGTCAAGATTTATGTACCTATAAATCTTTAAAACATATTACTAAGCATGAACATATTTCATTAAATATTTTAACTGGAGAGTGATATACACAATGAGTTAAAATGACCATTAAATTCCCTGGGTCGTTTTTTTACTAACTGAACAGTAATCAACCTCATAGTCCATTTAGATATCATATTAACATATATTCACATATTATTCCAGACATTTATGAATAAAATCAGTGGAAACATTTTTTACGAAGGTTAAAAATAAAATTATTTTACGTTCAAGTTTTACGTTTCTTAAATTTCAAATTGTTTTCATTTTTTTCATAGATTTAAGATAACATATATCTAACACCTGGAAAAAGTGTCAAAATGTTACAAATGTTGATAAATGACAGCAGTCAAGCTCAAAAGGCCATTGGAACAATACAAATTGGGAATGATGCCTTTCTGGTAAACATTTTATTTTTGGAAGCCTGTTATTATGATATAGGCCCTCAATGTCTGGTGTGCATCTGTATATAACTCTTTCAAATAAATATGAAAATAAATATAAATATGTTGTCAGTCACAACAACAACCTAGTCTAAAGTCAGCATTTGGTAAATTCTACGGTCGTTATAATGACTTTGCATGTTAGCAAATACAGCCTATCATTGGGTCTTATTTTGACTGACATTATGTTATACCAATTGTTAAGCCGTTTTTCTTATACTAAATTTAACTGCGGATTACTCAATCTTTCTGATCAATACATAGGACTAAAGGCGGGTTTTACGGGTCGAACTAGGAATACTTCCTCCTTCTTGGCACCTGATCCAACCTGTTAAATTTCTAGGGTCCGTTTTATATGCCCTGTTCACAATTTGCAGCGGTTTTAGGTTTTAGAGATCGATCACTATTCGTTACTTCACCTATTTCATCTGAAAAATAATAAAATTTGTCATTTCTAATTCCAGTCTTCATTTTTTTCTCATTACACTTTAAATTAAAAATGAAAATAGTTCTATTTCAAAATTTTTAGGGCTGATATGGCATATGATATGGATTTCAGTATGTAGTATTCTATTTATCATATATTTAAAATACATAATATGCAAGTTAACATAAAGTCATCGAAGAGTGTTTCGTGCATGATTATGACCTTTTTCTTTAAAATCTTATATAGCGCCAATATAAGGTCCTTGAAAACAAATTAAGTCCACATATGTTAGTAAAGAATTATTTTACATGTATATTTAAATAAGATCAAGTTAATTAACGTTTAAACTTTATACGAACGTTACTTCCGGTTTGATATGGATTTTCGGACCGGTCCTTGATATGAGGTATTGTGACGTCACCCGTATCGCAGAGTGCAGAATCGGTGTATTTACTTCTAAGTATATGATAAATGTTTATATTGGTTGTGTTTATCTACAATATTTGTTATGACAAATTTGAATTGTTTCTACACAATATGAATCTGTGTATATCAGTAACAAATTTTAAGAAGAGGATGAATAGTGTAAATTTTGTATCTATTTTTCCTTTTTATATTTCTTTATCATTTTTATCTCTAAATATTTTTGACCGACTGTTTTATCATTTATTTTTTCTATCGTGATCACGATTATATGTAGTTTGTAAACAAAGTGTTTTATATAATAAGTACAAGTCGTTAGTAATGGTCAGGATTGAACTTTCTTTGAAAATTTGAATGATGATTATCAAAGCTTACATTGTAGTTTCCATGTTATACCTTAACTATTATTAAATTTTAACCTGTGACGGTACATATAATTACCTTGAACATACTATCCCCATTGGAACATATTGACACTGGCGACAATAGGTGCTGATACAAACCTTTATTCCGGGCGGCAAAATGTACAGGGTGTTTCATAATATATGTTACATTTTTAAATCTAAATATTTTTCTTACGTATCATTTTTTAACGCACACCATATAAATATATATATATATATATCATAGAAATGAGAGAAAGAGATACAAACAATTGGTCTAATTCTATGATTTTTTAATCATGTTCTTAACACCATTCGCTTTCTTCACAGTGTAAATTGTATATGAAATACAAAATTTCATTGCACTGCTTCTTTGACGTTTAAAATGTGCATACAGAACGCATTAGTTTGTCTAAGAGAGAACAAGTGATCTCATAAAAATACATAGATGATTTTAAAAATCATCGTCATCTTCATACATGTCAATACTAAGAGCCCTAATGATACCGTCACGCCATCTTACCAGTATTTTAATAATCTTCAAAATATACATTATATGTCTTTTGCTATCTACTTATTTTCTATTTTTTACTTTTTTTATTGATTTCTTTATGCAGAAAAATGTGTCTTGTCAGCTTTATACCATAGCAGAGAAACAAATATATATATTTTTATGTTTCCTTCTTTTTGAGTGTAAACCTATAAACTTACTGTTGTACAAATTCTCTTTCCACTGTCTACAAGTATAAAGGCAGCGTTGGCTTGTGTCAAAACAGGATGAGCACTGAGAGGAACATTTACTACATAGTTTTTGCATATTTCTCGTTAAAATTGTTTTTAAATAACGTATTAGTGGAGGAAAGCTGTCTTTGCTCCACTCCCTGGCTGATTCTCACCTTCACGTGTTATTTGCTGCCATAAAACCATTGGATTCACACTAGATGTTTATAATAAACATATTTTACTTAAGGAAGGGTTTTCCACGTAAAACATTACTAACCCCTTTCATTTCATTTGATTTACAATGTGTATCAGTTTGTATCTTACAATTTTCAATAAAGATATATGAATATGAGTACATTTGGGATTCATATTGTAGCATCTTTAAATGCTTGTAATCTTGATAGGTTTCTATTCCTGGTGGGATGAAGGGATTTGAAATGATCAGAAAGATAGGATGCAAACAAGGTAAACGATTATTGACAGTTTCATTAGCAATACAAATGCATAGAATGTTTGAACTTAAAAATGGTTGACAGCTTGTCAATACATTTTACCGATGAACAGGCGTTCTTGTCGGAAATTATATTTCTGCAAAGAAAAATGGCTGAAGAATGGGAATAACGAAGAACTGCTCCTTGTCAAATGCTTCAGAATATTGAATATGAATGAATACAAAATGTCCGAAATTTGAATTGTGTGCATTAATGTGCTTTAATAATGATCAATTCCAAACAGAATCACAAACTTTGAAAAGATCATCCATGTTAGTAATTGGTATTGTTTTATTAAAGAAGGTCATAGAAATCCTGAAAAAAATCTACACAATTTTATTGGCTTCTGAAATTCTAAAACGGATAGTAAAGTGAAATACAAGCAATATTTGACAGAGATTCATGTAACCCGTATCAGGACAATAGATTTATTGGTTGATTGCATGTTGTTTTATGTCCCATTCGAGAATTTTTCATTTATAAAGAGACGTCACCATATACCGGTGAAGGGCTTCAAATTTAGAACTTGATTCGGCACTCGAATATTGAGCAGTGAGGGATCTTAATCGTGCTAACGCCTGCCGCGACACGGGGCCTTGGTTGTTAAGGTCTCATCCTAAGGACCCGCTTTCAGCGCTTGGCGAAGGAACAGTTGCTACCTTTTTTATCGACTAAGGTCAGTCGCAGCCAAGATTCAAACTAACGACCTTCCAATCACGGAGCGAGCGCTCCTCCGACTGAGCTTCCGTGACGGTAAGAACAATAGAGAACTAACATTATTGGCCACATATACTTAATGAATATCATTAATAAAACACATCTGTGCTTCAAAATATAGTAAACTAATAAAAAAAACAAAAAACAAAACCAAAAAAAAAAAAAAAAAAAAAAAACAAAACAAAACAAAAAAAAAACAACAAAAAAAAACAACAAAAAAACAAAAAAAAAAAAAACAAACAAAAAAAAAAAAACAAAAAAAAAAAAAACAAAAAAAAAAACAAAACAAAAAAAAAAAAAAAAAAAAAAAAAAAAAACAAATAATATATATTCTATTACCTATTTATTATTTTCCAAATTAGTAGTAATTTTTTCAAAAACTGGAGTTTGTGCTAGTACTTTTAGTAGTACAGTATTTAAAGGTAGGTCTCTTAATCGATCTTATTTATCACACAGAAAAATGACATCATTGCAGCACCAGTATAAGCGACGCGTCTCCATTCCGATTGAAGAATTCATTCTCTTTGGAAATTTGACAAATTGAAGATCTATTTTGTCTAATTCAATTTTGGACAGAAACAATCCTTGGCATCAGCATTCTATTCTGGGAATTTCCACAGACCAGCAAAAACTGTATTCATTTACTTTAATTCAACAAGATTTAAACTAAATTGCAGAGCATGTTTGAATGTACATGTAATTCATGATCAGCGTTTCCAGGATTTCAATAACATAAATGAATAACTGTTTGACAGGTACCGCTTCTTATTAAGTAATCTGCGATCTTATAGACATTACAATAAATATTTCTAGAATTGATTAGTATTAGTAAAAAGCTTATCATTTTATTCTATATTGTCAAAACACATACGCTCGCTTCGTGATCGGGGGGCCCGCGTTCGATTCTCTTTCGCCGCGCCGAGTCAAATCTAAGATGCTAAAATAGGTAGTGACTATTCCTTTGCCAAGCGCCAGGCACTTAAAGTAAAAGTCCAGGGACTCTCGGATGAGACCTTAAAACCTAGGTCCCGTGTCAAGGTAGGCGTTGGCACGATAGGTAGGCGTTGGCACGAGTGCCGAGTAGAGATCTAAATTTGAAGTCCTTCACCTGCATACGGTGACGTCTCTATATGAGTGAAAAATTCTCGAATACAAGCAAGCAATCAATCAAAATACATAAACTATACACACCATAGGTCATATTTTACAAAGTAATGCCAACATTGTTAACAAATAGAAATAAATTGTGAGATTCCAACGAAAGACTCTGGATGCAGCATTACATAAGTCCGATTTTCAACATGGTCGTATCGAACATCCGTAATATCTGTAAGACCGAATTTTCCTTCGACATGTATTAAATGTCTCTTTAGTGACTGGGACACAGGGACTTTTCGAACACGTTCTCACAACAGATTCGTACTTCAAATTTGAAGAGTAGTCTATCATTTCATACACAACTTTCTGTAAAATATATAGAAAGTCAATAAAAAGCATTTCCCACTTTTTTCTCTAATTGTAAATTACACAATTTAATCTTAATTGAAACGTTCATTTGATTAGATTATCATTTAATTTAATGACATGATCAAATTGACATATATGTTTTTCTTCACTAGACAGTTTTATCGTAAAACTTTTAACAAGTGGTATGATTATGTACTGCAGTTGACAACTTTGTTCCATCAAATTTCGTACCTCTGCTTAACAGAAAACGGAAATATGGCAATAAATTTCCTACGGTACCTGAATTGAATTTTAGTTTTTCTTTTCTAATTCAAACAAGAAGAACACTGCAATCAAAAACAAAGATCCTCATTACAGATTGAAAAAAATCAATGAGCTGAATGTAAACACAGTGGCAGAGATTTCAAATTATCTCAAATTTCGAATAATGTGATCAAGTGGTAATGATTAATTTTCGTCTAGATAACATTAGAGACATTAGCCAATACTTGTTATTCATTGAAATTTTGAGGATGCTATATAAATGCTACTATATGCAAATACATAAAATTCCCAATTCCAGACGCCACGAAAGGTCACTTAGGGGACATATTGTTGCAAGTTGGTTTCTTCCGTCAGGCGTAAGATTTTTTTTTCTTTTTTCTCCTTTTCCATATTTACTGGAGCAACTGAACACAAAGCATGCAAGTTCATGGTATTCAAGTTTTGCTAAAATGAGGATTATGCCTTTCTCCATGGGCAGAAAAAAAAAGAATAAAGAGTGAACATAAAATAGTAGGCATATATGCTTAAAAAAAACCACGCCAGAAATGGCACATCTAAACTGAAAGTGGAAATAAAATGTAGTCATATTTATAAACAAAAACTCAAAGCCAGAAATGGCCTTATGTATATGCAATTGAAAGTTTTTTATAGAGAAGATTCATATTTGTACATGTAGATCAACGGCGTGTCCAAACCTATGTTTTCCATTGTAATCTGATTCATATTTAAGTATGAAACAATATTATTTTGAGATGTGAAATTGAAGCCAAATTTTTTATCTGTGTGAAAGGAAAATAAATAGAAAATGATAAAAAAAATAATTAATATTATGATTCCGTAAATAGTGCAAATATTCGATCAGATTACAAAGTTTTGTTTATTACACCAAATCAAAAAAAAAAAAAAATACAATTTACCCTGATTTTTCACTCTTTATACCATTATTTGCTTATACGCTAGGCTTACCAGCTCCAACTATCCTCTATTTTTTACAGACCGCCTCCC